CCTTGCGCTCTGCATTCAACACTCGAAGCGTCCAACTGCAGGGGTGTACAAGCATCCGGAGCAAAATGGATGCAAGCACAACCTTCCCAACCCCTCGGCTGCCCTCTTCCAGCAATGGCTGGAATGCCCTCAGTGGTGATTTCTGGAAAGTGAGTGCAGAAGACTAAAGATGGCCATTTTGGGATCCAAAGTACATTTTAGCTGACAACTGGGTTGAGTTTGCATTTGAATGAGACGATGGAAATGCGGAAGTACAGCTGAAGTGCTGCTTGTGAAAATGACTTTCCGAAAGAGGGCCGACTTGCTCAGGCTTGTTCATGGGTGGCAAGCCTTTGCAGATTGCCACATTCTGGAATGTTCCTCAGAGGACCGGACTTTGAGTGCATTTTCGAACGGTGACATATTTGGGTTGGTTTGAACAGTAACCAAGAGAAAAAAAATTAATTCAGTGCACCAAGAGACTTCATTATGGAAACAAGAAATCATAGCCTTCAACTTCCGCTAAACAAACAAACAAACAAACTTCTCCTCTTCTCATTAATGGGCCCTGAATAAGTGGCCGCTGTGCAAGGAAGTGACCTGATGGGGTGGCTGGAAGGCTGCCCTCTGCGTGTGTTATTCCTGCGGGAGCAGAGGCAGGATCTCACGCGGGGTTTCGGAGACGGTGGCAAGTGGATTCGAACACAGTTCCGGCTGCGCAGGCTGCCTGCACGGCTGGATTTCATTCAGGCCCCCTCCTGCCTGCTGCCGCCGCCACCGGTTTCACACTCATCCACCTGCAGCTTCCCTGGAGGAGCAGCTGGGGATGCAGCTTCCTTCCACTTAACTCACTCCTGCCGCTCTCCACCGATCCCACGTACTTCTCCGAGCCCCAGTGCTGCGCAGTTGTGTGCCTCTCACGGTTGTGCCTCTCGCACAACTGCAGCGAAGGGGGGTGGAGCGTGCGCAAGCGCATTCCCTCCCCATCCATCCCATGAGCGAGCCGGGGCTGCCTCAACGGCAGGCCTGGCTGGGAAGGGGCTGCACGGAGCTCGCACTGCCTCTGTGCCCTCACAGCCCTGCCTGCTCTTCCACCTGTTCCTCTGGCCTGCACGGCACCTGTGGCAGCAGCGGGGAGCCAGAGAGGCCACGGCCGAGGTCTCGCTCCATGATGCTTTGCCTGCGAAGGAAGCAAGAAGGAGCCCTGGTGCGAATGAGGACCGGATGCATGAGTAGCTGGGGGATATTTGAAGGTCCCCATGCAGGGCCAGCCCGGCTATGAGGCAGAGTGAAGCGGCCACCTCGAGCGGCTTTTGCCGGGGGGGAGGGGAGGGCTTGCAACAGTTCGGGCAGCACATGGTTCGTGTGTTTTTCAGACAGGGCGAGGGAAGAAGGGCATGGGTGGGTTTTCTGTTCCAGCTGCTGGAATAACATGGCAGGTCTTGCGTATTATGTACCTTGACTGGAAGGGTGGGGTGGGAACACCCCTTTCCTGTTCTGCCTCAGGCAGGAAAATTCACTGGGCTGATCCTGTGGTAGACACAAGGTGTGCTAAGGCGCAGGGTGTGTGTGTGTGTTAGAAGCAGTGTAGAGTAGTAGTCAGAGCCTGCCTGAGCATTGCCCAGGGGAGCTGAAGTCTAAAACTTATGAAGTGCACCTGTTTGGGGAAGGCTACCTTATTTATTTGTTTATTTTTGCATCTATATGCTGCTCTCTACTCCTAATGGGGTCTCCCCCATACAACTTAGGGGGTTAAAACTAGGTGGACCCAGATTCCTCTGTGGAGTCACTGGGTGAATTGGGGTCATTTGTGCTCTCAGCTTAACCTACCTCGCAGGAGCGTTGTAAGGATGGGAGGGAGGGAGGAGAGAACATGAGATCCATGGCAGAAGCGTGGAAAAGATGCTAAAAAGAGCCACGCTGGTTTATGCTCACAGGCACAGTAGCATCAAGAGAACCCCTCTGAACATTGCCCACCCTAACAGAGGAGAGTGGAGGGCATCCCTTAATGTACCTTCTCTTGTGGGCTACCTGGTGTACTACTGTGAATCTCCAATGTCCTGCCTGGACCACTGTGAAAACTTGCAAGAAAGCTTCACAGATGTCCCACGGTGTTCATGGGGGGCAACATGAATGTTTGCCCATCCCTGTGTTATGGGAGCTTTGAAAGGAGCCGAAACACACGGGCGAAGGGGTGGGTCTATCGCTGGACGTTCGCCATGAGAACTGGCTGGAACTTGCACTGAGACACAAGCATTGCAGATGAATGAGGCTGTCCATTTCATCTTCACTCGTTTTTCAGATCTTAAATTTGGTCCACGTTCAACTAGGAGAGGTCATTTTTTAAAAAATGTGCATGAAACACTTTAAAAATGAATCGTGTTTTGTACATGATTCTCCTAATCCCTGCATTAAAACAAACAAACAAAAAGTTATTTATATCTTGCTTTTTTCTTGCAAGGAATCCAAGGAAGTTGACACAATAATCCTCTTCCTTTTATCCTCAGAACAACCCTGTGAGGTCAGTTAAGCTTAGAATCAGTGGCTGGCGGAAAGCTTCATGGCCACACAGGGACCAGAGCCCTGGTCTGCATCCCGTTCCAGCCCTCGATCTACTACAGTACACTTTTTCTATGCAATGAGGCCTAATATACATATTTGCAGGTAGCTCCCCTAATAGAAAACATTTTAGTGTTATTTTCACAAATGTTTATTTGTGTATTATGTTTTTTTAAAACAAAACTCTAAGTGGCTTACATCATTCTCTTGCTCCTCCTCTCAATCTTATCCCCACAGCAACAACCGTGTAAGGTAGGTTTCAGCTGAGAGTTTATGACCAGCCCAAAGTCACCCTTGTGGCTCCATGGCTGAGTGGGGGCTAGAACCCAGATTGCCTGAGTCACAGGGCCCACCCCTAACCACTACACCACACTGCTCTCAAAGGTACATATAGTTGTATTCTTGTTTTCCGTTCTTCAATATACACATTTCTGTATGTATTGCTTGATTGCAAAATTTGTTTGATTGCCATTTGAGTTTTAGTTTGTCCACTGGTTTGGAAGTCAAAAATCAGGTCAGTTGCATTAAAATGTGAACCAAACACTTTTCTCCCCTATCTCAGTATTCACTGCTGTCAAACATAACCTTCCTGCCCTGCTTGTGAGCTTCCCACAATCATCTGGATGGCCACTGTGGAGAGACAATATATTGTGGGACTAGGTAGCCATTTGGTCTGATCCAGCACAGCAATCCTTCTCCAGAATCAAGCTGGATCGTCTTCACTGGTGGGAGTGGACGTCTTCATTTCCTCCTTCCCATAGCACTGCCACGGAGTGAGATTCTGACCCTTTGTGCCCAGAAGAGGCTATTCAGTTAATGCTCCAGTCATGGAAAAGCAACATGATGCTTCCACTTCTCCAGGACCCAGTTCCTCAGAAAATCCCTAGACGGCAGCCGCCCTGCACCCAGGAGGCTGAATGACCGTCTTCATGTTCAGGCCAAACCTGAGCCATCGTCATGTTGTTGCAGACTGAGATGGATAAAACAGGCCAGAGATGAATACTAATACTCCATTAGAATGGAGGTGGAACCAACCAGTGTAAATGCAAAGAAGCTCCTATTTAAGTCTGTCCTGCTTGGCTTCTTGTTGGAGTGATACATTGACAGCCTGGTCTGGTTGCCAGCCCCATTCAGAGCTTTCCTTGGTGCTGATCTCTTACTTCTGCGAAATCTGACCTAACCTAACCTGGACCCTCTCAAGATCTGATCCATAGAGTCATATAGACCATGCAACTCGGCAAGGCACTGGCAGAGCCCAGAACTGGAGAGAGTTCAGGCCTTCTTTCAACACGCCTGAGAAGACTGCCCTGCCAGGAGCCCTTTCCGAAAGGGGTCAGCTGCAGTGCATGGAGAAGGGAGGTACCTGAAGAACAGGCAGAGAAATCTCCTTGAGAGCAGCCCTGTCCTGGGGAAGTGTCCTTCCCCTTGCAGAAGGCGCATCCTGCCCTAGCCCCTTGCTTGAGATCCATCGCTGCATTCTTTCCCTGCCTCTCACATCTCATAATGGAGCTCATGACAGCCCACATGTGGTTCTGATATGCTCTCCCCCTAGGGACAAACTGTGTTCGCACATGTCTAGCTTCAGCCAGGTGGCTGAATCCTGCGCCTTCAGCCAATGCCCCGGCGGATTACCTTCTTAATCCTCTGTCCAAAATCCTATTTGTCCTCACCTCCAAACATGCTGCACCTCCACAGCCTTTTAATGTGACAGGGACGTGGGGTGATGGTGTGGAGAGTGCAGAGCTGAGCAGAATGCCCTGCGCAGAGAGAAACAGGCCAGGCACGAGCTCTGAGCACGGGGAGCTGCTTTGGACGTGCGGATTTTGCCCGCAGCGACGGGTGGCTTTGCCTGCAGCCTCCGGGGGAAGTGGTTGTGTGTTGAAACCAATTCTGCCACCCTTCAGGACTGATGTCTTTCTTCACTCAAGGGGAGAAAATGGCCTCATGATGTATTTTGTCCTAGGCATGCGTGACAGCTAAATAAATACATGCTATCCTCTTTCTCTCTCTCTCCTGATTTATAGGATCTGTATCTATAAAACAATATTCTGCCCTGCTCTGTTTCTGTCCCTTTCTCTAATTTGCTCCCACACACATTAGCTAGAAGGCACATGCACCTACTGCAGCAGCCTTCCCCAAACTTGTGCCCCAGGAGGTTTTGATTTCTGTACCCATCAGCCCCACCAGCATGGCCAGTGGTCAGGGATGATAGGCATCAGGTGCGGGGAGGCTGGTGCGCATACCCCCATCCATCCATCCATCCATCCATCCATCCGATAAAGTGGGGCAGAATCCCCTCCCCCCCCGTACCTCTCTCTTTCATCTTTCTCCCGTTTGCTCTTCTCCCCTTCGGCCAGCAGGGGGCAACCTCTACCTTTCCAATCCCAGCCGCCGCCTCCTCCTCTGCCTCCGAACCGGCGCCCCCTTTTCGCTTTCATTTTGCTTTCCCTTCGCTGGAAGCCTGACGTCAGTTCGGTGCTTCGCTTTTTCCCCTGTGCGCGTCTCCCCCTCGCACGCTTTTTTTCGTGCCGAAGGTTTTCGGTTCCAATCAGGGTTCTGCTATTTCAGCTGTGGGCAACTTTCCGCTGCCTCTTTAAGAAAAAGGAAACCTTCGCGAGCCTTGGCAGAAGAGGGGTAGGAAAAGGGGAAAAAAAGAAAAGGAAAAAAGAAAAAGAGCGCGCGCGAGAGAAAGAAATATTTAAAAACCCATCAAGAAGGTTGGGGGAGAAGAACTTTTTCGGGGTGCAGGAGTGCGGGGGCCCCTTCCGTCTTAAATGCAAGATGCAGACCACGCGGGCTTTGATCTTCATGTTAACCTTTCAGATCTGCTCCCTGGAGACCGAAACGCCTACAGGTCAGCACCGAGCCCCCCCCCCACCCCCGCGCTCCTTCCTCTCTCCTCTTCCTCCTCTCCCCGGTCTTGCATCTTTGAACCCCGCTCGCCCCCGGAGAGTTTGGCTGCGTGCGTGCGTATGCTTGCAACTGCTAACTTGGCGCTTCCCGGGCGCCGCTCCCTCGCTTGCCTCCCCGCGAACTTCGCAGGCTGGGGTAGGAAGGGATCCAGCCCCTTCCTCGCGGCGAAGAGGCGGAAAACCGGAGTTAGAACGCGACCTGCTTGCCGTGTGCCGCCGGTGCTCGTGGGCTCTCCCTGCGCCTCGCGGCCGCGGACCTTCGGCCCTCGCTTCCCCTCCTCGCGTTCGCGAAGCGGCTGCAAAATGGACAATTGGAAAACTTTTTCTTTCTTTCCCCTCCTCCCTCTAAGTCTCGCTCGCGGTTCTGCCTGGAAGCGCTCGACTTGGCCGGGAGCCCCCGATCGGCTGCTCTGACAGCTGCAATCCTGTGTGCGCATTTACCTGCGAGTAAGCGCGACGGAGCTCCGTGGGGGCCGCTTCTGCGTCCACACGCGGGAGGCAGAGCGGATGCTGTAGAAAGAAACCCGAATGCCCCGGGGGCCCTTCCCCGCGGCTCCCCGCCGTCACCTCGCCCCACCTCTCCTGGCTCCTTCAACCCCGTGAGGTATCGGAACCCCCTGCCCTGCCCTGCCCTGCCCTGCGCAGCGGCCGCTAAGTCTTTGCATCTCCGGTCTGGGCTCCTTCTGCATCGATGGAGCCCCTTGCTTTCCCCTTCCCCCCTTCCCCGCGGGGGTCGACAATGCAATCCTATGCACGCGTACTTCGATGGGGAAGAAAGCCCCACTGAGTTCAGTGCGACTTACTCTAAGGTCAGGATTGCATCTGGGTGCTTCCACAGACCTCAAAAAGCATCTCTTCCAAGACTAACCCAGGAACTGGTAAAATGAGATGTACAGGACTGAATAGCATGTTTTCTTCCAGATTTCGTCCCCCCGGCCCCGCAATACATGTGTGTATGAATGAACGAAAAACTGGATTCAAAGCAGGGCATGCTGTTCTCCCCCAGAGCTTATATACTTCTATCTGTCCTCCCTGCGAAGCGGGGCTCGTGTTTGTCCTCTGCCGTATGATCCAGGAGGTGCCTCCGAGATTCTGCCTCCTTGCAGTGGATCTCGGGGCGCCTCTTCCGGGCAGAACGGCGCTGTTTCCTTGGCCTCTTCCTGCCCTAAGGGGTCCCTGCGGCTGCCTCTGCCGTCCAGCCGGTCTTGCGCCTTTTCAGTGCCCCTTCAGCATGTGGTGGAAACCCCGAATCCACTTGCTGTGCTGATGCTACGAAGAAAGCGAAGGCAGCCGGATCATGCGCCCGCTTGCTTTGCCGTTATTCCAGCAGGAGAAGCATTTCTCCAGTAAGGGCCAACTTTCCGCCCCTCTTGGCCCTTGCCGAGGGGACGAGGCAACACGTGAAAGATGCGGGGTGTGCTCTCCCGACCCGAAAGGCAACAACTGGGAGGTGATTCCGCTGGGGTCTTAAAGCAGCCGGGGTTTTTTGTCTTGGGCACATCCATCCCATTCAGCAGTGTGATTCCCCAGGAGCAAATCTGGGTTTGCCGTAGAATTCATGGTGGACGCCCCCCCCCCCAAGAATTAAAGTCCCGTCTTCCCTTTAAGCCCCAACCATCGACACGGGGAGGCTTGAAAAGGAAAGTTCTTTTTCAGGTCAAAAAGTTAGCATTGTTTTTAATGGCACCCACGCTGCTTGGAAATTCCCATTGCAACAGTCTCCAAATACTGTAACCCAAACCTGACTTCCAGGAGGACTCTGTTTCCTTTGCTCTCCCTCCTGCTCACGATCAAACCTTCATGAAGCAAAGAGCTATAGCTTGGGAGATGCCCCCCCCGCCCCTTCCCTGAAGTGCTACAGTTGAACCGCATTGCTTTCCTTTGCAAGAGTTGTTTTGCTAAGAGTTCACCAAGGTTCCTCGGGCTGACAAGCCAATGGAGTTGCACACTGTGTCTGGAAGGGTAGAAATGTCATTTGACCTGATCGAGACCGTCTCTTGGGGAGAAGCCCTCTCAGCCAGCACCTCACCGTGGCTGAGCTCTGGGAAACTCTCGTGCTGGGCTCTCCACTTCCTTAGCAATCGCTGGGCTGCATGTTTGCCGTGTGTAGAATAAACCCACAAGAGGCAACTGGTGTTGCTCTCAGTAGCAGTTCCTTTGAGATCTGAACCTGATGCAGCCTCTGATGGCAGGGAAGAGAATGCTGGGCAGGCTTGGTGCAAAGGTGCCCATGCTTTGGTGTGTGGGGTGTGTGTGTGTGTGATGTCTTTGTAGGGTTCGTCTTGTTTCTTATTGCTGCTTGTAGCAGGGGAGCATTGTTCCGGATGGAGTGGATGGCTCTGAAAAGCTGTAGAGGGATACACAGCTTACTATCTAGCCTTCTCATCTCCCTGTCTGTGTCTTCTGGATGAAAGAGAAGGAAGATTTTTTCTTTTTTTATGCAAGTGAGGTGGGAGAACCAGCAGCCTGCCAAGTTTTTGCTTTCCCTCTCTGCTGGGTGCAAGCCACTCTGCTTGGTGGCTTTGGCTTCTCCCCACAGTGCTCCTTTTGTGATATGATGAAGAAAATGAAGTGTAATTGTTATACGAGGGTTATTCTCTTTCTATCTGAAGATGGTGGGAGAGGAAAGTTCTTCGGAGAGAGTTGGTCCTTTTCTCAGAGAAGCTGCACTGCCTCTGATGGACCATGCATGTTTCCTTTCATCCCTTGTGATCAGACAGATTTTCAGAATGATTCTGGGACCTGCTCAGTTCAGTATTTACTGACGTGAAGTGACTGCTCCTCTTTTGAGCCACGGTCATTTTAACACACCATCATCAGTTCTTTGTGTGAACAGTGGGCGACACTCCACTCGCCTACCCAACCTAAGGCTGCCCCTAATAAGACACAAGCTCAGGCTCTATTTCCCACTGCTAGTCCAGCAGTATCTAAAGAGCACTAAAGAGTATCACAAAGAAGACCTGCTTTGGCAGGAATGTTTCTTCTCAGTTTTGCTGTTTAAGAGCAAAAGGACAATATTTTTTTTTGCACGCATTATGCATTTCAAACACCGTCTCCTTGTTTTTGTATCAATGGGCAACTCTGCACCCTGCCCTGTATTTTCTGTTGAAACAATGCTGTCATTGAGCTGATGAATTTGGTCTGAACAGGTCTGATGTGGAGTTTGCTTCCCTGGTATAATTAGCCAATTACTTTCCTGCTGTCTTTTTCTTTCTGGGTTTATGGGAGTGTATGTACCTTCCTTTTCAAGTGATGGCTATGGCAGGGTTTTCTTGTGTGTGCCCCTTTCCCCCTTCCTTTTTCTAATATAGAGAGAAACCCAAGGCAAATGGCAAAACTGGGAAGCTGGCCGGTACCCCTTGCGCCATTTGGCTTGCTACACTGGCTGGCAATGGTACCCTGGAGTTTCAGGATGGTGTCCTTCCCCATCCTGCTTGTAGGTGCTGGGTGTGAACCCAGAATCGGGGGCATGAAGAGCATGTGCTGCTGAACCACTGCCCCCACCCCACCCCACCCCAAAGGTGGCTGAAGGCATTGTACGCCACCTTGCTTGCTGGCAGTGTCCTGGCGTCCAAGTTTGCAGTGTGTTTTGCCGTTTGCACCAGTATGGAATCCATGCTTGTGTTGGGTAAACCAACTGGGGCTGTATGGATACAATCCCCCCACCCTTTCTCTTGCAGATTAAATGACCTGCCCTTCGTCATGAACACTTCTCTCCCCTTGTCTCTTTCCGGCAGATCCAGGCCAAAGATTTCTTAACTACAGGCTGGTCAGTCAGGACTGGCATTGTAATACAGAGTGCATAATAATAAAATTGTTAACAAGTATTATTATTTAGTACATTTGTTTAAAAGCTTCCCATTCTCATCATGCTGTCTGGGTGGCCAATACAATATAAAATCAACATATAACAATAAATCATAGGATAAAATCCTAATAAACAGAATAAACTCACAATAAAGCATTAAATAAAACATACCTTATAATTAACCAGTGCATTGGTATAAGTAGTCTAGATGGTACCCAAGGTGTGCCAGGAAAGGAACATTTTTGCCAGGCTCCTGAAACTCAGTAAGGTAGGTGCCTGCTGAATTTCTGATGGCACCGTGTTCCATAATTGGGGTGCCACCACAGGAAACAGCAGCATCTGCCAAAGTACTGGTCCCTTGGACTGGTGGAGTTTAGCTCTTGACCATCCTGGGCATTGATTCTAAACTGAATCCCCCTCCCTTTCCCTCCTTTCCCTTCCCAAAGGAGTTGGCTCCCCCCTCAAAGAGTCTTGTGGGTTTGTGGGCCAGGTGGCAGAAATGCTGGGTGTTACCTAATTGGTCCCCTTACTGGGCTTGATGGCAAACCACTGGGTTAACAAACTTCACGTCCCTTCCCTCCTGACCCTTCTTGCCTTCAGTGTCTCCCTGAACTTCCTAGCTCACCTTCACAGTCTGAGCCTTCTGGCTTGCAAAGCTGTTTCGGGAGAGGCAGTCTTTCCCTCCATGCGCTTGAGCAGAGGCAGCACACTTCCCCCAAACCTTGAATGTTCCAGACGAGTGATTTTGTTCTTCTTCTTCATCTGAAGCGGGTTTGGCTGTGCAGCAAAAGCTGCAGTTGGAAACAGTTTTGAGATCAATCCTTGATTATGTATTTGCCACTCCATGATTGCAGTTTCAAGTGACAACTTCCATGTGGGGGCAGGAGGATGCCATCCGAGCTGAAAGCAGAGCACAAAAAGCAGTCCCCCCGTTGCCTCAAACACACTGTTTTCAAGGGAAACTGCTCAGATGAAGTTTGTGCATCTGTGTAATTAAAGAAAGAGATAATCAAATGTTTGCGTGTGCGCACACACACACTCCCAACCAAGAGTAGAATCAACGCATGGGGTGTGGAAAAGGCCTTTTGCCTCCTGCCTATTAATTTGAAGTTCTGCACAGAGTCTGCGAGCTGT